AGACTGTGTGTTGATTAACACTTTCATTTCAGAGCCACATACAGCTCAGCTGTTGAATCATTCCCCATATCCCTCCTCTCTCCAAATCAAGGGGACACCACGAGACCTGGCTTACCCACAGTGTTCAGGAGTAAGGCTCCCGCAGCAATTCCAGCCTTCAGAAGGGTTTAATGCAGCTATGTGGGCTATGTGAGCATCATGGAGACCAGGGGAGTCTGGCAAGGTTTGCTGTAAAAGAACAATATGTAAAATGATTTGCATGAGCAATCTAGATGAGAGCCAGCAGAGCCTCCCAATCTCAAACAGATACAAGGCATCTTCTTCCCCTGCTTCTCCAGTCCATCACAGCTTATTTGTTTCTTGGCCAGGTCTGGCCATAGCCTGTTTGGGATGGACTCTGTGCTGTGCATTACCTCTTGTCCAGCACCACGGAAACCTTTAGTCCAGAATAGACCTTAATGTTTTTCTATCCTTTCAAGTAATTTTTCCAACTCCTTAGCAGGCTCAAAGAGAATGAAGCTAATAAATCTTGTTTTATGCCTGAAGCACTGACAATGCACAAAGCAGAAGCTCTGAATGTCGTAGTGTTCAATGCCCATCTGTGCCCCTGGGAACAGGGACACTGCTGCCCTAGGACGTGTGGGAAGGTCCCCTCTCTTCTGAGAAATCAGGAGTAGGGATAGAGGAGCCCACAGGGAATGGGAGCAATGCTGCTTTTATATGGCATCTGTCTGTCTTACCCAAAATCTTGGCAAGAGATCCACATGGATCCTTTGGCTGCTATCAACCACCAGCTCCAAATACTCCTCCCTTCCAGGGCTGCTCAAAATGCAGACAAACCTATGCTGTCTGATCTGTATCTGGGTAGAGGGTTCTGTATTCCCAGAAGCAAGCACCCCTCTCACCAGCTCTCCTGCCACCAGACATCATTTGGGAAGCCTCGGGGAAAGCCCTGGGTGATGTAGGCCATCCCTTCCTTTCACCAAGTCTAGGGGCTCTGGGGATAAGGCTGGTGGAGGGCTCGTTGTTACAGGGTCAGCATGCAGCTGCTTTTTACAGAAACCTAGATAGCTTAGACATGCTGTGTAATAAAGTTTCATGTTCCCCCTCTTCTCTGTGTGCGTAGCAGGCATCCAGCATCCTGATCCCACAGAGCCTGTCCCGATGCACCTCTGCCACTTAGGAACCCCGAAGGACAAGAAACTCCCAAGTGAGAGGAAACACGATGGCACAAGGAAGAAATGGTGCGGAGCTAAGAGGCAGGATCTGATAAGAAGTATGTCCGAAGCAGCCCCCAAACCTGCCAGCAGCTGCTGCTGAAGTACAGCCCTTCCCGCACAGGTCCCGAGGAGGAAGGCTCACTCACCTGCAGCAGACGTGACAGCCCGGCAGCGTTCCCTGCTCCTGGCTGGCAGCAGTCATTTTTCCAGGCTTTCTTTCCACCGGATCGAGTTAATGAGGGAGCTCACGGGAAAAAATATCTTCTCTTCCTCCCCAAACCTGCCAGCAGCTGCTGCTGAAGTACAGCCCTTCCCGCACAGGTCCCGAGGAGGAAGGCTCACTCACCTGCAGCAGACGTGACAGCCCGGCAGCGTTCCCTGCTCCTGGCTGGCAGCAGTCATTTTTCCAGGCTTTCTTTCCACCGGATCGAGTTAATGAGGGAGCTCACGGGAAAAAATATCTTCTCTTCCTCTGGCAACCACCTGCCAAGGAGCAAGGTGCTCCTGCCGGGTCCCCTTCCTGGTGCGGGCGGGCAGCGCTGAGGAAGGCTGCGAGCCCTCACCTGTGGCCCGGGCAGGTGCATTCCCCAGCAGGGTGGCGTCTCAGCAAACCTGCTGCTGGCCTTGGAGAGGCTCCAGAGCCGCGCCGGTGTGCAGGCATTACCCCTCCCTTCCTCCCTTCCTCCCTCCCCGGCCAGGATCTGGCTGCGCACCTATCCTGGAAGGTGGCTCATTTCCTCCCCGCTGGAGGTGAAGGGGTGCCAGAGGCAGGGAGCAGCTCCCAGGCTGCAGGTGAGAGGAAGCCTGCAGCCAGGTGAGTAGCGCTAGGGGAGATTCGACACATTCAGCAAGTATTTGTGGGATGGTTGCGTCAGGATTCGACCTTTGTATGGCGTTAATCCAGGCAGGCACTTAAGTCAGGCATGATGCCACCTTGCTTTTTCAAACTGCGGTGCCATCTCCCCATTACCAGGCAGTCGCAGTGCCCCCCTCTACGGGAGGCCGTGGCATCAGCAGAGCCCACCATGCTGCCAAAGAGCTGCCTTCCTCGTAAGCTAGTGGCAAGAAAAGGGTGACCATTTGGAGAGGAATTAGGGAAACAGAAAAGGACTCATTTGAAAGAGGGAGAGA